GGTCAGAACCACCGACAACCTAAAAAAGCACGAGTTATCTCCTGTTTAATGTAGGTGAATAGTAGTGTCAATCTTGTATCCTCATAAGGTCCTTAGGTTAGGAGGTAACATATTATTTTGCCATCCCAAATTTATCACCGGATGTCTTTCTCATCACCGATCGTGTCACCAAAATCTCCAACTTACACCAGCCTAATGATCCATATGTGGCCACATTTTAAATATCTCCAGTCGCCCACAAGCATTTGAATAGCATATCCAAGACACGTGCCTTGGGTTTTACTATAGGTTAAGTTGTGGCAGGGTACTCCTCACTAATAATTCTTGATTTTAAGCGTCTCAAATAATATATTGTTGGGTTCTTAGGGATTTTATTTTTTTGATTGGTTTTAGTGGTTCTTATACTTTGAGGATGATTTTCCTCAACAAATCATAATAAGCTCAACGGTCCCATGAAATGTCCAAAGTCTCATAACGATATTCAGAGGGTAACTCTAAACAAATTTTAGAATCTCCGGGACTATTCTAAGTTCATCTGGCTTTGCTAAATTGTTGAGTTGATCAACTTGTTCAAGTTGTGCATTGTCATGTTTCGAACTGCGCTTAGTGTTTTATGTCTTGACTAGTCAATGAGTAAGGGTATTGGCCAATTCTTGACTTTATGACAAAGATCTTAAGGATAAAACCCTAAGGATATATTTATAAAGTATTGGGAAGTTTACACTCTTATGCTTCAATTGGGTTGGAGCTTATTGTGTTTTAAAAAATTCCATCATCTCTTATATCTTCTTCTTCAACTAATCCTCACCAAATCAAACATATTTCACTACGAAGCTCTTAAAATGTAAAGGTAAAACCTGTAATTTCTTTGGAAAGTTTTGTAAAGTGTGTTTGATCTTTATTGAATGATTGAATTTGGCTTAACCATTAATTGGAACTAAAAAATTAATGAATTAATAACCTTATGACTCATCCCCTCACTCTTGGATCATCCAAATTCTTATATCTTTTTAAACACAGCAATTCAAATAATTATTATTTTATTCTTTCACAGAAAAGTCATAAATGGGTTACCTACCTCATTTACCCTTTGTGTTTCAATCACTTCAGTAGGTTAATCATCTTAATTTAATACCTTTTCCTTCTGGTTTAACCTAAAAAATTGATTATATTAAGGTTCGAAATTATAATTATACCCTTAGGATTTAGACCACATAACTCTTATATTTTAAATCACATAACCATGAAAGTTTACTGACCACTTACTCATGAACTAATCAAGGCATCAGAGGAGCAGTTCAGTTTTTTTTATACTTAATTATTTTTTATAATTATTTTTAATTCATAATTATGAATTTCTAATGTTAATTAATTTAATTATCCAAAACATGTTCTCTACCCTTAGGAAAATTTTGTGTTGCTGCTAAAAGTCAAAGGGCCACATAGAGCAATTCTCATGATATTTTTTAAATTATATTTTAATTTTCATGATTATCAAATTAGATTTAATAAATAAATAATAATGAATTTTTATTTTAAGAAAATCCACATTTACTTTTCATTAATTTCTTTGAGTTTGGTGAACTCCAAAAACTTAATTTTGTATTTTTATATTTTTTATAATTGTCTTAGCGAAAAATTTGTACAAATACAAGAGAATACATTTAAGTATTTAAAATATATTTTTAGATTTTAAAATTTTATTGAAGCATTTTAAAATTGTTGTCTCTAATTAGAGAAAATTTTGTTACATTTTAATATATACTAGTGTTTTAGTAACTTTTAATTATTTTTAATTAGGGAAGTCAAAACAGAGTACACTCCTTATCACTTAATGAACAAACCTTAGGAATTTCAATCCATGATAATAGTTATTTAATTATCAAATTATAATTTATTTAATTCATTTAAAATTAAATGTAAAATAATTATTTTTTATTTTACTTTCATTAGATGCTCCTTTTTTTACCAAGTACAAGGGTATTTTTCTTTTATTTTTGTGATTTTTCTACATTAAAATATGATTTTTTGAAGTTATATTTATTTTTTGTGTTTAATAAAACCTAAAATAACCTATTTATCCACTTAAATATTGTCGACCGAAATTTAATTTTATCTTGAAAATAATATTTAATTTAATATACATATAATTTTGATTTTTGAAAATAATATTTTAATTTTGAATATCAGACTAAAAAGATCTCATACATTTAATAGTTTAAATAATCGAGCACCACACCACAAATAATGCATCTATCCCAGGGAATAGACACTTTTCTTATTAGCGGGGATTGATTACTTAAACTAAAGAATTTATGACAACCGTTTGGTCTGCAAACCTTTTATATGTTAACTGAAAAGTTTCCTTATCTAATATATGAATTAGATAGGGTTTATATTTCTTGGGTTCTTTAGTTCCCTTTAAATGCAAGTTCCCTATAGATGCAAGCTCCTATAGTTAATTACATCTTAAGCGACCGATGACACTTAAGAAAACTCTCGATGATGATAAAAAATATTTGTCTTCAGGATTTAGAAGTTTAACTTTCAAGGTTGAACATAGAAAAATCAAATGGGAATGGATCAAATAGGAGTATTTATTTTAGATATCTAAAAGAAATAAAAAGTAGGGAATGTTACAAATCTTGAGAATAACCTTGGTGACTTCATAAACTATCATACTGTTTGGCTTCAATTTTCGAAGATGATATTATTTTAATGTTTCAATAGTGCAGATTTTATTATATATGGCTTCAATTTGCATGATATTCGACCATACAAATAGCCTAAAAGATTGGAGAGTTTATATCATATCAAATGCAACCTCAAAACCCTATAAAATTTAGGACTTATATTGCACAATATGATTGTGTAAAAGCCTAAAGATAAGTTGAGGATTTATGTGGCATTAGGCAGACAATCTCGAAATCTTATAACTTATTGTTTAACCTAGGAATGATTTAGCTGATGGAGACATTGTTTGCTCTCTCAAAGATGTTTTTTATTTGTTGTGACCTCGTCGTGTTGATCACAAAGTTTGCTCCAAACTCATTGTTGTAGTGGTGACTCCAAGGTTTGCAGTTTATATGCCGTGTTTTGTTATTATTAGGTTTTATTATTGGAGTGTCTCGGGGGAATTTTAATTTAAGTTAAGCGCCACCGTTAAGTATCTCACAGTACAGTCTTCCCAACATCACTATTTTCTTTTGAATTTACTTAGTCTAAATGAGCTGTTAAGCTCATTTTGACCGAAGAATTCTCGTTAGCAACCGTAAGTTATTTAATCGAAGAAATTCTCGTAAAATCAAAATGAGTAGATTAAGTGTGATCAAAAGGGTTTAAAAGTGTATTGATTTTTGAAAGTGTATTTCTATTATTTTGCTGGTATTAATAGTAAAGCATGCATAATAAAGTAAAGTGACTGTAAGATAAAGTAATTAAATTGCAATAAATAAACTGTAAAGACTTGCTTGACACTCCTGCTGTTGTTGCATGGTTAGTATCAAAATCATGGTAAGATTACAGAAAGTTTAAATAAATTGCAAGAAAATCTAATATAAGAAAATCCAAACTAGTCGTAGAAAATAGGAGTATGGCAAAACCCAACATCACATATGGATGACCGGAATTGAGTGTAATAATTTAGTAAAGGTAGGGGCTCAGAGCTAGGTTGTGTGCTTCATAATTCCAACTTTGGATAAAAAATACCAACCTAACAATCTGGGGAGGGGCAACTCCTAACCTCTATCCAAGTGATAGCCTGTGGACCTTTATAAGTTTTCATCAAAATTCTTTAAGTTTTCTTGCATATAGAATTTACTTTGGTAAGCAAAAGTAATCACATCACAAAAAAAGATTTTAGTTTTCATATACTATAAATATATTGTAAACTAGTATGGTCCATAGGCTAATTACTCTAGTCAGAATAGGACTACCGGCAGCCTGAGAATGTTAGGTGCAACTCCTACCAAAGCTGGTGAGGCCTAAACAAATTGACCGAAGTGCCTGATATTTGACAATTTTTTTATCAAAAGAGGGCATGATATAACATATATTTTAGTAAAATTTTGAATAAGGAACAAATGCGCCTCTTATAATTTTTAAATAAAACCTAATTATCCTCATTTTACCCAAAGATTTTTGAGAAATCTTGAGCTTTCAAGGCTTATTAAACTGTGCAATAAATCGTCCAGGTGCGTTTTTAGCCTTCTAGTTATCTTTTGCCAATCCATCATCATTTTTTGAAGAATGATCAACTAATTGAGACCTTCGAAAGCAATAAGTTCAATCAAATGATTCACACCTCCTGTTTTTTACTAGTAAACACAAATTTTTTTTTTGTTTGTTATCATCACGAACATTGCTCATAGAGGTTATTATCTGAGTTCATATTCTTTCCACCAACATTTTATAATTCAATGTTAAAATAAGTGAAAACTTTCTATTGAGCTAATTTATGATTTCTTTCTGTCCAGAAATTATTGCTGGTCATTTTATTCACTTGATGATGTTTGAATTGATTAAATTTATGATTTTAAATCTCTTTCTAGTGGTATCATTCCTTGCAATTAGATGTTGCATGCTGATTTTCTTCAATTATGAAATCATAAATTTGATGAAGGAATGTTTTAATATTAGAAACATTCATATGATAGAAGAAGAAGAATTTTGCTATAATTTTCTTACAATTAATTTCTCAAGTAAATCTATTATTGTAGAACTTGCTACTCTTTGCCATGGCAACCAAAATACATGTGTTGCAAGCCTGAGGCCCCTGAACCAAGTCAATTGTGGCGCTCTATGGCGCGGCGCCGGGTGTCGTTAAATAAGCAATTAAGCGTTAATTGTCATTATTAATAAATAATCCATGAGAAATGATATAAGCAATTAAGCGCTAATTGTAAATATTAATTAAATAAATTAGACATCATATTGCCGATAATCTTCTATAAAGAAACTGATTTTAAATCCCAAAAAAAAAAAAATCTAATGAGCCGCCCCATTTGTTCTCTCTTCTGTCTCCACTCTCTGTCTCGCTTTCTTCTGTACTCGTCTCCTTTGACTCCTCATTCTTCTACCTCGCGTGCTTTCGCTCACCTCTCTTCTTATCTTTCTCCGCCAAACCCCTCTTTTCTCCGCCCGCGCTCTCCCTCCCTCTCTCTATCCCTCCCTCCATCTTCCTCTCTTCCTCTGTCTTGAAGTGACAGCTTGTGCTGCGTTCTTTGAAGAAGAAGGAGAGGAACTGCTGTTCCAGTGAGAGGAAGAGCAGGGATTATATGGTTTGGTCCATGGAATCTGGTCTTCGAGGCAGAGTATGAGAAAAGGAGGGAGCTTTATAGGGTTAACAGTCTCAACTTTGCAATCGTTTCCTACTTCTGGATTTATATCTGCGCGAGCGTGATAAATCGATTCATAGATTGAGAAATAAAGAAAAAGCATATTTTTATGGCTGGAAGCAACGAGGTTAACGCGAATGAGTCAAGGGTATTGCATTCTGGCCCTCTTTCTTGCACATTCTCTCTCCATTTTGCCCCCTCGACACTTATTTTTGAAACTTCTATGCAGAATTAATGTGTTAATTTGGCATTCCTGTTTTAGCTTTTGAGATTTAAGTTTTGGGGTTAGGAGGGTTTGCGATCTAGTTTGATATTGGTTTTTTCTTGTGTTTGTATCTGTTCCCGAAGCCCTTCCATTGCTGTTGTAATCGGGATCCTCCATCAATTTAAATGAGACAGTGTTTTCTCCCAGGGCTTCCAGATGAAAAAATTGCAGTAGTGCATAGAAATGCTACTGCGGAAGAATTTAATTAACTCAGTTTCCAATGAAATCAAGAGAAATTAAATACGCGCTAGTACTCCTGCAACCTTTTCCAGCAAGGGAAGGAGAAAAAAAAGTGAGCTTTGACCTCGGAGTCGAAGCCCCTGGCTTTGTTTCAGTTTCTTTCTCATTAGAACCCCACCATTTCTGCAAAGAACACCAATCTCCTTCTGATCCGCACGATCTTTCATGAAATCAGAAAATTTCGAATCTTCACAACTCCATTCTTCTTCAATCCTTACCCGAACGGGTTCGAACTAGATAAAACAAAAAAGAAAGAAACACTACACATGACCAGTGCTTTGAAACACAAAAAACAAAAGAGGCCTTCTTGTAGTTCTATCTAATCCTTTCTAAAACTCATCCCTTTACTTTTGTTCTTCGCAGATGGTGGTTCCCCTCAACACCTGGGTCCTGATTTCCAATTTTAAGGTCGCCTACAACATGCTCCGCCGCCCAGATGGCAGCTTTGACCGTCATCTTGCGGAGTTCCTGGACCGCAAAGTACCAGCGAATGCAAATCCTGTCAATGGTGTTGTTTCCTTTGATCTCCTTCTTGACCGCCCAACAAATCTTTTGTCCAGGATCTACCTCCCTGCTCCTGCTGTCGCTGACAACGTGCTTCCACAGCAAGCCCTCCTTTCTGAGCTCCAGCGCCCACCATCACCAGACACGTTTCCAGTGATCATCTTTTTTCATGGCGGCAGCTTTGCTCATTCATCAGCAAACAGCGCCATCTATGACACCCTGTGTCGCCGTTTTGTCACGCTCTGTGGCGGTGCTGTAGTTATCTCTGTCAATTACCGTCGATCTCCTGAGTTTCGCTATCCTTGTGCCTATGATGATGGTTGGACTGCTCTGAAGTGGGCTTCCTCTCAGCCCTGGCTCCGCAGTGGCAAGGATGCCAAGCTCCGAGTTTTCCTTGCTGGTGATAGCTCAGGGGGGAATATCGTCCACCATGTCGCAGTTAGAGCTGTTGAATCTGGTATCCAACTCTCAGGCAACATCCTCCTCAATCCATTGTTCGGTGGCAACGAAAGAACAGAATCTGAGCTCAATTTGGATGGGAGGTACTTTGTAGCCTTGAATGATCGAGACTGGTATTGGAAGGCTTTTCTCCCTGAGGGAGCTGACCGTGATCACCCGGCTTGTAATCCATTTGGTCCCAATGGTGCGAAGCTTGATGAGCTTCCATTCCCAAAGAGCCTTCTCGTTGTTGCCAGTTTGGATCTAACTAAGGATTGGCAGCTAGCTTATGCAGAAGGCTTGAGGAACGCTGGTCATGAAGTGAGCCTTATCTACAGGGAACAGGCCACAATAGGCTTCTACTTCTTGCCTAACACCAACCACTACTACGAAGTTATGGAGGAAATCAGACGCTTTGTGAATTCCAATTGTTAGCATTAGCAACATTACAGCATGTCATACCTCTGAAGCACATAGCAGTATATATATGTCATCAGTGTTTCTAAATATAGGCGATCTATCCTTCTCATGCTTTGTTTCAGAGCAAAGAAGCGGTTTTTGCGATTGCAGACTATTTTATCTGATTTCTAGGCTAAAAAAGAAAAGGGGGAGGGCAAGAGGCAGTAGTTCAGCGCTAGAATCCTTCAGTTACATACAGCTATTGACTTGGTTCAGCCATGATGTCTCTTTTTTGCTTCTGAAGTCTTACTTGTGAACGGATGGTGCATGATTTTATTTCTACAACTATCACTTTTTTCCACTAACAATGTTGTTCCATATAGGTTGTGTATCTGTTCTTACTCCATGTAATACATCTTGGGGGGAGGGTTTAGATGCCCAGCGTCTGTTGTATTAATGCTAATTACACCCATGATATATTTTATATTTCATGTTCTTATTATAAAGATGTCCTTTTCCTTCTCTTTTTAAATCTTCATTTTTAGTTGATAGGATGTCAGGTTTTAGAGAAGAAAACCCTCCTGGTGTGAAATGCAGATGCAGAGAAGGCCAAATTGATAAGAAGGAATAGAGTAATATGACAGGAAAGCTGGCTGGTACTTTGTTAATAATAATATAAAAATATAGCATAAAAAGTTAATTCATATAGATCTAATTTATGGTTCTTGGAAGTATATAGGGAAGTCGACTGGCAGCTATGGGAAGCTACGCAGGAGCAGTTGGGTGGACATGTGGTTCATCTTTTGGTTTTTGGTAGATGCCATGCTTCAAGGGAAACACGTCTTTTATATTATGCTTTGTCCCTTGGCATTGATGGGGTGTCCACCTAACCTTTGGAATTTATTGCGGGGAAGCTTTTTATTTTTTTTTTTTTTTTTTTTTTTTGGTGGCTACGTCCATGGCCAAGTGGAGCCTCCCCACCAATATTTTTTTTTTTCGACTTCAGACTTTGTTTTTAGCCCTCCGTCGACAGCTACGCAGCCCCGGAGGGACGCGGAGTGCTCTAATTTGTTTGTGCTGCCCAATTTTTATAAACTTTATGTTAGACTTTGAAATGATTGAGGTTCTCATATTTTGGTCTTAATTAGATATTACCTGGTTTAATGCTAACAATTATAAATATAGTTTATATTGTTTTATGAATGCAATGAAGTAACTCCAAGCTACCCAAATCAGGCTGATGCAAGCTACCTCAACTAATGCAAAACTTTTGTGAAACACCACCAATAAATTCTCATCATCCAACACGAATCTCGAGATATGATACTAATTTTTAGATGATATTTTAAGTAAGAAACATTCAAATCTTGATAAAAAGTCATCCAGAGCTCTGATTTCAACAAACTTATAGTCAAACTGACCTGTTCAATGAGACAGATCTAATGATATGAAAATTAGCCTAATCCAAGTCAAATCAAGCCCATATTAAGTCATTAAACCACAGTTAGAAGATTTATGAATTTATTTGAAAAGTCAAACGACTGTCAAATATGACAAGTTTATACTCAAATCAAGCAACTTGACAAGACAAATCCAACGAGTCCAAGATCACTCAATTTTGACATCATTAAGGCACTCAGATGTTCATTAAACGTCATATGATCGAGGGAAGCTCTCCGGACCGTCCGTTCAAAATGGTTCATATTCCTGCATTAATTACACCCAAAACACTGTATATAGAGTCTCATCCCTCTCTTGAGAGGGGAGGAAGTCTAGAGAGCCTGAGGTCTTGAGGAGTTGCAGCTTAGCAACACCACCAATCATCGTCGACCACGACCGACCTCCGTCACCAACCACCGCCGACCTCGGTCGTCAACCACCGTCGATCGCCAACGACCACCGCCGATCGTCGCGCGCCGTCACCACCCCCCCCCTCCCATCATCAATCACCACCAACCAGCGCCGTCAGTCGATATTGTAATCTGAAAAATATAATTACCCTTTCCTGTCTGTGGGATAAGGGATTTCTGTAATCATCAATCAATAGTGGATTTTCGCAACTAGGCCAGACCCGTAGTTTTTCCCTAATGGGTTTTCTACGTAAAAACTTATGGAGTCACCACTGCTTTTTTCTATTTCATCTGTGTGTGTGCTGAACTTTCGTACAACGCTAAGACGATAATTTGTTATTCTACCACCGTGAATTTTCTAGCATGCATCAGTTTGCCGCCGCCTATGGGAAACTCTCAATCCCACCACTAAAGTATTTGCTCAATTTCCTACATATCCACCAGGCAAAATATTCTGGACAACGAAGTAGCTTGCTTTAACTCCCATCGTTCCAGGGAACAATCACGAAGTCAAGGGTGACATTTTTCTTCATCTTCCCGCCTTGGAAGACGTTATCCAATCAATAAAGGGGGTTTTGGGTCCTTTTATGGAAGAACGAATGCGTAGAGTGGAGGAGTCTCAATTGGAGATCATACAATTCCTACGAGGGATCCAACAACCACTGTCCGCATCGATGATCGAAACTTGTTTACCATTAAATTTGTGACTTACGAGAAACGTACTGCCCGGAAAAACTCGTACCGTCCCCCTTGCTCAAGAGGAAACAATTCCCTTGCCTGGACGTGATGCTAAACTCCTAGACACCGCAAGTTCCACTCATCCATCTCATGCAGCTCCCCTAGCACCACCACGTATTGCTACCATTCCAGATGATGTCATATGTAACGAACTATGTCGCCTCGTCCGAGAAGATTTCCCCTAGAGAAAAAGATCGTTCCACACTCACCCTAACATCTTTGAATCCTGTCACTTAGTGAATGAGGTCCTCCAACACCCTATCCCAACATGCTTCAAGCTGCCGAAAATTAACTAGTATGAAGGGATAACTGACCTCTATGAACATATTGATCATTATCAAACTATCATGCACATTCAACGTGCCTCTGACGTGCTTCTATGTTAGGTGTTCCGAGCCACTCTTAAGGGACAAGCTCGAACCTGGTTCTCTATCGGGTGGCACTATAAACACCTTCAACGAGCTTGCCAAACTATTTGTGGAGCAGTTCATAGCAAATCGACGAATCATCAAGGATTCATCCCATCTCTCAGGAATTCGTTAAAGTGAAGGTGAGTCGCTTAAAGACTAATTTCGCAGGCTTTTTGCTGAAGCTCGTCGAATTCCATGAGTAGATCCAGAGTTACTAAGGGGGGTATTTCTTGGGGGGCTCTGCTCAGGACCCTTCTACTCATCACTAATGCGGGAGACAGTTTGTTCTTATGTCGATCTTGTCCACCGTGTTAAGTCTCAAATCACTGCAGACGAGGCTATCAATGCACATAAGGAACAATCTGAGAAATTTGGGGGAAAGCGCAAAGGTAACTCTAGAGACAATAATCAATCTTCGCAACGGGGAAAGTTTGAACAACCGAAGAATCGTGGCCTCCTCCTTCAACATGCAGGTAAACGAACTTAATATCGACCTAAGAAAGAGTATACACCTCTCAACAGATAACGTGCAAACATCTTGATGACCATCAAGGATGAGCATGTTGTTAAGTGGCCTCATCCGTTAAAACCTAACACAGGAAATCAAGAACAATACTATCATTTTCATCGAAGTCGTGGCCACACCACTGAGGCATATAAACTCCTTAGGAAAGAAATTGAAAGGTTGATGCAACAGGGATATCTTGGTCGATTTATTTAAAACAAACTAGTTAGTAACGATAATGCTCCTATTGGGGGGGCAACAATCACAGAGGCAACAACATGGGGGTCACCCAGTCGTAGGTGAAATTCAGACAATTGCAGGAGGTCGTTTGCTGACTGATCAAGTTCTCATTACTACACCTGGTGAACCAACACAGAAGAAATTACGCCTTGAACTTATCACTTTTAATAATTTTGATTTAGAAGGAGTCTGAGTACCTTCCCAAGATCCTCTTGTCATTAGCGCAGGAATTGACGAATCCTGTTATAATGTAAAAAGGATCTTGATCGACAATGGGAGCTCTGTTGATGATTTGTTTTACTCCACTTTTCATAGTTTGGGACTGACAAGAGAAAAACTTCAACCTGCATCTGAACCATTATATGGTTTTAATAATCGACCAGTATGGGTCAAGGGAACAATAAAATAAATCTCCCTATTGTCATGGAAGATATTCCTCGAAAGATAACTCACTCAGTCCAGTTCATTACTGTCAAGTCAGAATCAGCATATAATGTCATCTTTGAGAGACCTATGCAATCCATCTTTGGCATTGTAACATTTGTGCTACACTTGAAGCTCAAATTTCCAACCCTAGCAGGGATCGGCGTCGTATGAGGAGGATGTAGATGTATCTCAAAGAGCAAGCTCAACCACGCCCATCAGTGACACTTAGCATTGAAAACTTTGATCTCCAAGATAAAGATGTATCTCAAAGAGCTTCCCCTGTGGAAGATTTGGTTCATGTCCCGCTCTCTAATGAACACCCATCGAGAACAGTACAACTTGGTTTCTTACTCTCTTATGAACAAAGGTCAGAATAAGTAGATCTCATCCAAAGGAACCAAGATATTTTTGCATGGACCCCAACAGACATGCCTGGGGTTGACCCTGAAATAATTATGCATCCTTTAAAGATAGATCCAACTTTTAAACCTGTCGTCTCGAAGAAGCGCATTTTTGCCACAGATCTCTTACAAGCTATTGAACAGCTATTGAACCTTACAAGCTATTGAACAGGAAGTAAACAAGCTTCTTGAAGCAAAGTTCATATGAGAAGTACATCATCCTGCATGGCTGGCCAATGTCGTCATGGTAAAAAAGCTAGTGGTTCATGGAGAATGTGTGTCGACTATACAGACCTCAATAAAGCATGTCCAAAGGATAGATTTCCCCTCCCTCGCATAGATCAGCTTGTTCATGCAACTTCCAGACATCAGATGCTCAGCTTTATGGATGCATACTTAGGGTACAATCAAATAAAGATGAACCCAATTGATGAGGAAGCCACCTCTTTTCAAACATATAAGGGTTTATACTGTTATTAGGTTATACCGTTCAAATTAAAAAATGCTGGTGCAACTTATTAATGCCTCATGAACAAAGTCTTCAAAAATCTTCTCGGGCATATAATGGAGGTTTACGTTGATGACATGTTAGTAAAAAGCCATGAAGCATCCCAACACACTTCT